TTAATTCTAATAAGTTATTGAGCATCATCCTTCTCCCAGTGATATATTTATTTTTATATTCAGAGGAAATCCAGTTTTTTCATCTGTTTTAAAAGTCTTCAGTCAAAGCCAGTGATCTGCAACGTCCAAAGAGACGCTCTTTCATCAGTCCAGCAAAATAAAACATTTTTAGAACACGGAAATGTTGTCAGTGGCTAAAAGAGACCAAAAAAAAAATTAATAAATAAAAATCGATGCAAGAAAATTTGTTTTCATTTGTTAAAAAGATCCACTTTTTTGTTGTTTTTCAAAGGATTCCTCTGCAACCTGCAGAGCTTCTATAGTGGCTCCTATAACTACGGCTGCAGATGACAGATATATAAGGAGGATATTAGTCTGACGGTTAATCTTTTCTTTCTTGCATTGAGGAGGAAAATGAGACACTTTTCCAACAAATTATATTTAAAATAAGAAAAAAGTGCATATTCTCTAATTACTTTATAACTAAAATCCTCATTCCATCGGTAGATCATCTTATTTACCTCCTCATATTAAAGGTAAATACACTTAATTTAAGAAACTTCTACTTGAAGTGCAGATAAGACCCTGTTGCAGACGGGCTAACGTTAGCCCTGGCTACTGTTAGCCTCTGAGCAAGTTGCCGCGGCCCTCTCAACTTTGGAAATAGTTTTTTTTAAGTTATGAATTAAATCGATAAATGGACCATATAGTGACGCTTTAAAGTATAATATTCTCGCCTCAAATGATCTTAAAACGTACTTTTATTGAAAAACAGAAAGAGAACTTTTAATGGGGCGCTCCATTGGAAGCTGCTGCTGCTGCAGTGCATCATGCTACTGTTCAACAGTTGTTGCCATCTTCCTCGTTGTGCTTCTCCAGCGTCGCGCAACTTGTTGTCCCCGCCCTCCAAACCCCGCCCACTTTGCATCAAGACATTCAAAACACATCTCTGCGTTGTGATTGGCTCGCCAGTTCTAGGGCCTGGGGCATCGATCGAGGCTAGACCTCTGCAGGTAAAAATGATTTTGGTGGGGCTAGTTTGCTAGGCTAGTGATTTAGCGCTATCAAAATAAACTGAATTAAATTGAAGAGTGCAGGTGTGTTAAAATGATCACACTGCAAAAAATAGAAATCTAAGTAAGTCAATTTTTCTTAAAATAAATGCATTTTCATTGAATTGAGGATGTAAGTAAGACACTGCAAATGGAACAAGACAATTTACATTTACAATAAGAAAAATCAGTCGTATTGTCTTATTTCAAGTGTATTTCATCTAATTATCGTATTTTAAGAGTAAAAATAATCATCCCATTGGTAGATCATCGCATTTACTTCCTCAATTTAAGAGTAAATACATTTAATTTAGGGAAATTTTATTTATTTCTGGGTAGTTTTAGCAGGGCAGTTTTTGACAAAGTGAGAATTGAGATGGTCAGGCTTTTGCAATATAGGTAATCGGCCAGAAAACAGCCATCGGTGCACCCTTAATAAAAAACATTAGTGGAACCTTTAAGGTCGTTCTTCAGCACAAGTTAAGAGCAGATATTCAATGAAAAATTGATCAATATCTGCAGGATTTTTATCTTTATATTTAAGAGTAAGCAGTGATTCTGCGTCGGTTTTAAAGGTCACAGCTGCATAGTCCTGGTCTGACCTCACATCCCAGGAGATCAGGAGAAGAAGGAAACTTACTGTGAATTATCTTCGTCTCCAGACAGACTCCAGTCATCATAGGAGCCCTGCTGACAGAAACACGGCTTTCAGTCACATTAATGAACTTTAAAAAAACACGTCATCTGTAGCAGGAGTATCAGGAGGCATTACCAGGTCAGGGTAAGGCTCTGTGACTTTCCTCACTGGCCGTCCAAACTTTATCTGGTCGACTGCAAAAAAGAACATGGAGTCAATTCGATTCAGAAGTTTTTATTCAGTGCCATTTTGGCCCTGATACCTGGCTGTGCAGTATCGGCTGATACCATCTGTTTGAAATCGATGTCTGTGTTTGAAGAACTGCATCCTG